GGGTAATAGAACAGAATGCGGAATATAGTGTACCAGCTACAGAGAAGGTGCAGAGAAAGATAAATAGAGGTCCATCCATAAGTCTGATAATAGTGGGGTAGAAGCTGTTCTTAAATCTGTTGTTACGTGTTTTCAAACTTCTGTATTTTCACCCGATTGAAGAGGGTGTAAGAGAGTACAACCAGGGTGAGTGAGGTCCTTGATTGTGTTAGCTGCTTTCCTGGGCCTGTGGGAAGTAGAGAATGAGTCAATGGAAGGAAGGCTGGTTTTCGTGATGGAATGGGCTATGTTCACAACTCTGTAATTTCTTGCTGTCTTGGGCAGAGCAGTTGCCATAGCAAACTTTAATGTGTCTGGATAGGATGTATGTATCGATAAAAATTGGTAACCATCATCATGGACATGTCAAATTTCCTTAACCTTCTGAAGAAGTATAGATGTTGGTGTGCTTTCTTGACTGTAGGATCGATGTGGATAGACCAGGACAGGTTGGTAACGATATTTACTAAAGCCATAAAGGCATTATCGCTAGACTATCAATCCAGAAACCCAGCTAATCTTCTGGGGACCAGGATTCGAATCCCACCACAGCAGATGGTGGAAGTTGAATTCAATAATTTAAAAAGAAGTCTGGAATTAAGAATCTACTAATCACCATGAACTCATTGCCAATTGTCAGAAAAAACCCATCTGGTTCACTTATGTCCTGCAGGGAAGGAAATCTGCCACCCTCACCTGGTCTGGCCTACATGTGACTCCAGATCTTCAGCAATGTGGTTGACTCTCAACTGCCCTCTGAAATGGCCTAGCAAGCCATTCAGTTGTACCAATTGCTACAAAGTCTCAAAGAAATGAAACCGGATGAATCACCCGGCATTGGCTGAGGCACCGGAAAAGACAATGGCAGAAACAGCCCTGCCAACCCTACAAGTCCTCCTCACTAACATCTGAGGGCTTAGTGCCAAAATTGGGAGAGCTGTATCACAGACTAGTTAAGCAACAGCCTGACATAGTCATACTCACAGAATCATACCGGACAGATAATGTCCCAGACATCACCATCACCGTAGAGATAACAAGGTGTAGAGCTTGGATGAACACAGCAGGCCAAGCAGCATCAGAGGAACAGGAAGGCTGACGTTTCGGGCCTAGACCCTTCTTCAGAAAACCTTCCACCACCACCACCATCCCTGGATATGTCCTGCCTCATCGGCAGGACAGACCCAGCAGAGGGGGTGACACAGTCGTATACAGTCGGGAGGGAGTTGCTGTAGGAGTCCTCAACATTGAATCTGGACCCCATGAAGTCTCATGGATTCAGGTTAAACATGGGCAAGGAAATCTCCTACTGATTACTACATACCATCCTCCCTCAGCTGACGAACTGGTACTCCTCCTTGCTGAACAACACTTGGAGGAAGCACTAAAGATAGCAAGGTCACAAAATGTACTCTGGGTGGGGGATTTCAATGTCCACCGTCAGAAGTGGCTCGGCAGCAGTACTACTGATCGAGCTGTCGGGTCCTAAAGGACATAGCTGCTAGACTGGGTCTGCAGCAGGTGGTGAGGGAACCAACAAGAGGGAAAAACATATTTGACCTCATCCTTACTAATCTGCCAGCTGCAGATGCATCTGTCCAATGACAGTATCGATAAGAGTGACCATCGCACAGTCCTTGTGGAACCGAAGTCCCACCTTCACATTCAGAACCACCTCCATCATACCTCCACCGTGCTAAATGGGACAGACTTCGCACAGATCTAGCAACACAAGACTTGGGTATCCATGAGGCACTGTGGGCCATCAACAGCAGCAGAATTATACTCCAGCACAATCTGTAACCTCATGGCTCGGCATATCCCCCACTCAACCATTACCATCAACAGAGAGTTCTGGAGGGCATGCCAGGAGCAGCAACAGAAGCACCCAAAGATGAGGTATCAACCTGGTGAAGCCACCAAACAGGACTACTTACACACCAAATAGCGAAAGCAGCAAGTGATAGACAGAGCTAAGCGATCCCACAACCAACGGATCAGATCTCAGCTCTGCAGTCCTGCCACATCCAGTCATGAGTGGTGGTGGATAATTGAACAACTCACTGGAGGAGGAGGCTCCACAAATATCCCCATCCTCAATGATGGAAGAGCCCGGCACATCAGTGCAAAAGATAAGGCTGAAACATTTGCAGCAATCTTCAGCCAGAAGTGCTAAGTGGACCATCCATCTCAGCCTCCTCCAGTGGCCCCCAACATTACAGATACCAGTCTTTCAGCCAATTTGATTCACTCCACATGATATCAAGAAATGGTTGGAGACACTGAATACTGCAAAGGCTACCGGCCCTGACAACATTCCGGCAATAGTACTGAAGACTGTGCTCCAGAACCTGCCGCTCCCTTAGCCAAGCTGTTCCAGTACAGTTACAACACTGGTATCGACCCGACAATGTGGAAAATTGCCCAAGTATGTCCCGTACATAAAAAGCAGGACAAATCCAACCCGGCCAATTACCGCCCCATCAGTCTCCTCTCGATCATCAGTAAAGTGATGGAAGGTGTCATCAACATTGCTATCAAGCAGCACCTGCTCAGCAATAACTTGCTCAGTGACGCCCAGTTTGGGTTCTGCCAGGGCCACTCAGCTCCTGACCTCATTACAGCCTTGGTTCAAACATGCAGAAAAGAGCTGAATTCCAGGGGTGAGGTCAGAGTCACAGCCCTTGACATCAAGGCTGTATTCAGCTGAGTATGGCATCAAGGAGCCTGAGTAAAACTGGAATAATGGTTATCAGGGGGCAAACTCTCTGGTGGTCATACTTGATATGTAGGAAGATGATCGTGATTGTTGGAGTTCAATCATCTCAGCTCCAGGACATCTGTGCAGGAGTTCCTCAGGGTAGTGTCCTTGGCCCAACCATCTTCAGCTGCTTCATCAATGACCTTCTGTCCATCATAAGGTTAGAAGTGGAGATGTTCGCCGATGATGCACATTGTTCAGCACCATTCGTGACTCCTCAGATACTGAAGCAGTCCATGTTGAAAATGCAACAAGATTGGGACAATATCCAGGCTTGGGCTGACAAGTTGCAAGTGACATTCACACCACACAAATGCCAGGCTGTGACCATCACCAACAAGAGACAATCTAACCATCGCCCCTTGACACTCAATGGTGTTACCATCACTGAATCCCCTACTAACACCATCTGGGGGGTTATCATTGACCAGAAACTCAACTGGACTCACTACATAAACACAGTTGGTACAAGAGCAGGCCAGAAGCTAGGAATACTGTGGCGAGTAACTCACCCCCTGACTCCTCAAAGCCTGTCCACCGTCTACAAGGCACAAGTCAGGAGTGCGATGGAATACTCCCCACTTGCCTAGAGGAGTGCAGCCCCAATAATACTCAAGAAGCTTGACACCATCCAGGACAAAGCAACCCACTTGACTGGCACTACATACACAAACATCCACTCCCTCCACCACTGACGCTCAGTAGCAGCAGTGTGTACTATCTACAGGATGCACTGCAGAAATTCACCAAAGATCCTCAGACAGCACCTTCCAAACCCACGACCAATTCCATCTCGAAGGACAAGGGCATCAGACATGGGAACACCACCACCTCCAAGTTCCCCTCCAAGCCACTCACCATCCTGACTTGGAAATATATTGCCGTTCCTTCACTGTCACTGGGTCAAAGTACTGGAATTCCCTCCCTAATGGCTGATGGACTGCAGCGGTTCAAGAAAGCAGCTCACCACCACCTTCTCAAGGGCAACTAGGGATTGGCAAGAAATGCTGGCCAGCTAACAACGCCCACATCCCATATGTTAATAGAAACAAAAGCCCTTGACCATCTCCACCTCAGCACCATTGATATAGACAGGGGCATGTCCTCCACTCTGATTCCTGAAGTCCATGACCAGCTCCTTCGTTTTACTGACATTGAGGGAAAAATTGTTGTCTTCACAACATACCACTAAGCCGTCTATCTCTTTCCTGTACTTTATAAAATCCGAAAGAACTGCGGATGCTGTAAATCAGGAACAAACACAAAGTTGCTGGAAAAGCTCAGCAGGTCTGGCAGCATCTGTGAAGGAAAAAATAGAGTTAACGTTTTGTTAACCTCAGAACGGTCACTGGACCTGAAACGTTAAAATTTGTTTTTCCTTCACAGATGCTGCCAGACCTGCTGAGCTTTTCCAGCAACTTTGTTTTTGTTCTTTCCTGTACTTTGTCTCATTGTTTGAGATCCGACCCACTACGGTGGTGTCATCAGCAAATCTGTAAATGGAGTCAGAGCTGAATTTGGCCACACAGCTGTGAGTCTATGAGAGGTATAATAGGGGGCTGAGTACTCAGCCTTGCAGGGTACCAGTGTTAGGGATTATTGTGGAGGAGGTGTTGTCGCCTAACCTTACTGATTGCCGTCTGCGGGTCAGGAAGTCAAGGATCCAGTTGCAGAGGGGAGAGCAGAGTCCTAGGTGTCGGAGTTTAGCAATGAGTTTTGTTGCAATTATGGTATTGAAAGCAGAGATAAAGTCAATAATTAGGAGTGGGTGGCCTTGTTATCCAGATATTTCAAGGATGAGTGTAGGGCCAGGGAGATGGTGTCTGATGTGGACATATTGTGACGGTTGGCGAATTGTAGTGGATCGAGGCAATCTGGAGGCTGGAGTTGATGTGAGCCATTACTAACCTCTCGAAGCACTTCATAACGATGGATGTCAGAGCCACCGGGCAGTAAATTCTTACTTCCACACTTTTTAAAATGGAATTCAAATTCCACCTTCTGCTGTGTTGGGATTAGAACCTGGGTTCCCAGAACATTAGCCAGGACCCTGGATAAATAGTCTAACAATAATACCACAGGGCTATTGCCTCTCCACCATTATTGAATTATTGCCATGAGTGGTGCTCTGGTAAAACATTAAACAATTACTAATAACGTACTTTGGTTGTTCAATGAGTTCATTCTTCCTTATCAAAGTTGGAACAAAGTTCACTGTCACAGACTTTCTATCACACAGATGTTCGCCTTCAGAACACCACAGTCTTCCTTTCAGCTGAAAACAACTGAATTTGAAAAAGGACAATACTGACAGAGAGCAGAAGGATCGTTTACTCTATGGCGAATATCGACTTCTTTACTGGATATATGGGGCTGCTTGCTGTCCATTTCGTTGCCTTCGCTGTGGGTCAAAGGCCTTTGGGTAAGTTCTGCAGTTAATGAGTAAATGAAGAATCTGACTGTGATAATTAATGTTTAATTTCATGAAGCAATATATTTGTATTAACATCAGTAAATATTCCTGACTGACCAAGATTAACAAAGAAAGAAGTAGCTTGTATTTTAAACCTTCCTTCCCGAAATTCCACTTGAGTGCTTTCTGGCCACATCTGAAATAAAGTCACAGTTGTCGTGTAGGAAAAGCAGCAAACGAACATTCAACAGTTCATAGAATCCCTACAGTATGGAAGCAAGCCATTCGGCCCATCAAATCCACACTGACACTTTGAAGAGCATCCCATCCAGACCCACCCTTTCCCTGTAACCCTACGTTTCCAATGGCCTACCCACTTAGTTTGCACATCCCTGAACACTATGGGAAATTTAGCATGGCCAATTCACCTACCCTGCATATCTTTGGACTGCAGGAGGAAACTGGAGCACCCAGAGGAAACCCACATAGATGTGGGGTGAAGGTGCAAACTCCACACAGTTGCCCGAGGCTGGAATTGAGCCCAGGTCCCTGATGCTATGAGACAACAGTGCTCACCACTGAGCTGCTGTGCCACCCTGAAGTTGCCGGACTAGAATTGAATCTACCTCCACTACACACTCAGGCAGCACATTTGATGCTAACTTTGATGGTATGAGGAATGCATTGCCAAGGATATTTAAGAGGTTGACAGTGGATAGGCAATGGCAGAGATTTAAAGAACATGTGGATGAACTTCAACAATTGTACATCTCTGTCTGATGTATGAGTAAAACAGGGAAGGTGGCTCAACCATAGCTAACAAGGGAAATCAGAGATAGTGTTCAAGCCGAAGGGGAGGCGTATAATTGGCCAAGACAAAGCAGCAAACCTGAGGAATGGTAGAAATTTAAAATTTAACAGAGGAGGACAAAGGGTTAAATTCAGAGGGGAAAATTAGAATATGACAATAAGCTTGTGGAAAACATAAAAACTGACTGCAAAAGCTTTTATGGATATGTGAAGAGAAAAAGACTGGTGAATACAATAGTAGGTCCCTTACGGTTAGAATCAGGTGAATTCATAATGGACGTTACAAAGAGATGGCAGACCAGTTAAACAAATACTTTGGATCTGTCTTCACTAAGGAGGACACAAATAACCTTCAGGAAATGCTAGGGGACAGAGGGGCAAGCATGAAAGAGGAACTGAAGGAAATCCTTATTAGTCAGGAAATGGCACTGGGGAAATCCCAATAAGTCCCAGAGCCTGATGCGCTGCTTCCAGAGTACTCAAGGAAGTGGCCATAGAAATAGTAGATGCATTGGTGATCATTTTTCAACATTCTGTTGACTCTGAAAAAGTTCCAATGGACTGGAGGGCAGCTAATGTAACCCTACTTTTTAAAAAAGGAAGGAGAGAGATAATAGGGCATTATAGGCTGGTTAGCCTGACATCATCAGGGGGAAAAATGCTGGAGACAAATAGTAAGGATGCAATAACCGAGCATTTGGAAAACAGTGACAGCATTGGTCCAAGTCAGCATGGATTCTCTAAATGGAAATCATGCTTGACAAATCTTCTGGAATTTTTTGAGGATGTGACCAGTAGCGTGGACAAGGATGAATCAGTGGATATTGTGTATCTGGACTTTCAAAAGGCTTTTGACAAGGTCCCACACAAGATGTTGGTAAGCAAAATTAAATCTCATGGTATCGGAGTAAAATATATTGACAGGGATAGAGAACTGGCTGACAGCCAGGATACAGAGAGTTGGAATAAACCGGTCCTTTTCAGAGTGGCAGGCAGTGATGTGTGGGCTGCCGCGGGGTTCAGTGATGGGACACCAGCCGCTCACAATATATATTAACAATTTGGATAAAGTAATTGAATGCAATATCTCCAAATTTGCAGATGACACTAAGCTGGGTGGCAGTTTGTGCTGTGAGGAGGATGCCAAGAGGCTGCAGGGTGTCTTGGACAGACTGGCTGAGGGGACACATACTTGGCAAATGCAATATAATGTGGATAAACGTGAGATTATCCACTGGTAGCAAAATCAGGAAGGCAGATTATTTTCTGAATGGTGGCAGTTTAGGAAAAGGTGAAACAGTTGCTGAAGGTTGGCATGCAGGTGCAGCAGGCAGTGAGGAAAGCTAATGGCATGCTGTCCTTCATAGCAAGAGGATTTGAGTATCAGGGATGTCTGCTGCAGCTTTACAGGACCTTGTGAGGTCACACATTGAGTATTATGTGCAGGTTTCGTCTCCTAGTCTGAGGAAGGACCTTTTTGCTATTGAGGGAGTCCAGCAAAGGTTCGCCAGACTGATTCCCGGAATGGCAGGACTGACATATGAGGAAAGACTGGATCGGCAGGGCTTGTACTCACTAGAATTTAGAAGAATGAGGGGATGTGGGTGGGGCAGGGGAGGTCTTATAGAAACATATAAAATCATGGTGGGATTGAATGGCTAGATATGGGAAGAATGTTCGTGATGTTGGGGAAGTCCAGAACTAAGGGTCACAGTCTAAGAATAAAGGTAATCCATTCAGGACTGAGATGAGGAAGGATTTCTTCACTCAGAGAGTTGTGAACCTGTGGAATTCTCACCCACAGAAACCTGTGGGGACCAGTTTGTTAGATATATTCAAGAGGGAGTTGAACGTGGCCCTTTCAGTTAAAGGGATCGAGGTGTACGGACAGAAAGCAGGAATGGGATACTGAAATTGTATGGTCAGCCATGTTCATGTTGAATAGTGGTACAGGCTTGGAGGTCCGAATGACCTACTCCTGCACCTATTTCCTGTGTTTTCTGTTTCAAATTCCCAACCTAACTCCTCCCTCAGTGATTTTCCTTGTGTCTGTGCTGCTTTTTTTTCACAACTTACTTTAAGTCTATGCCCCCTGGTTTTTGATTCATCCACCGGTGTAAATCATTTGTATCTTATCTCTTGTCTGATAACCCCCATATTTGAAAACCTTGACCAAATCTCCTCTCAGTCTTCTCTTCTACAAGAAGAACAGTTCCAACTTCCCCAACCTACCTTGTTAGTGAAGTGGCTCAGCCCTGGAACCATTCTCATGAATCTTTTGTGCACCCTCATCAGTGTCTTCACATTCTGCCTAAAGTGCAGTGCCTAGAACTAGATTTAATGTTTCAGCTAAAGCCAAACCCAAACTATCATAAATTCCTAACTTTTGTACTCTGTTCCTCTATTTCGAAAGCCCATGGATCCCCAATATGTTACTAACTGTGCTCTCCACCTATCCTGTACTCTTCAATGATTTGTGCACATTTACATTCAGTTCCATCTGCACCTTTACCCTCTTTAGAAATGTGCCCTTTACTTTAAATCACCTCTCCATTTCTTTTCAGCCCCATTCCAGCAGTCTGTCTGTGGTCTTTTGAAGATTAACCCTATTCGCCTTGCAGTTCCTTCAAGTTCTGTGTCATTCATAGACTTTGAAACTGTGCCCTGTACGCTAGGGTTTAGATCATTAAGATACACTAAGAACTGAGGAAAAGCAAAGGTCCCAACATTGATCCCTAGGAACTCAGTCCTGAAAACAATCTTAAACTCTATTCTCTGTTTCCTGTTCTGCTCCGCATCATATCGATGCAGGTCCTATCCTTATTATTCAATGATAATCTGATAATAACCACATAACTAATTAAAAGTCTCTTTCAAAAGATAATATTTCTGATAGGGTAGCATTCCCTCAATGCTGTACTCAGGCATTAGGCTGGAATTGTATGGTTGAATTCACACCTTTCCTAATTCAAGACAAGGGAGCAGTTGGGCCCACTGAGCTACAGCTGGCACACGTAGCTACTAATGACACTGTTAACCTAATCATTGCATACAATGCCCTGTTACTCAGGAATTGGATCCTTGGGAGGGCTACGTGACAAATATAATCAGGTTTATGGTCAGCTGTATTGCCAGGAACAGAAACATTAGGGAGGACTCCATATGCTTCAAGATTGCACTGAAGCAGACTCCAAGAGCTTAAATGAGATTGGAGGCTGAGATCAATTTGTCATCAGAAAATTGAACAATTTTCAAAAAATATAAAAAAATACACAGAACAAATATATTCTATAACTGAGAACCAAGTTCTAGCCCAGATTTTGCTCAGAGTTCCTGATCTACTGGAGATGATAACATAGGAGAGAGGACTTTCCTGGAAGTAGGAATTCTGGAAGCCTGCAGGTCCGGCTGGCCTGGTTTTTCTGCCAATATGAGCATGGGAACCTTTTTACCCTTCTGCCCCAAAAATGCATATTCAAGAATGAAAGAACAGGCATTTGTATTGTGCCTTTCACCCCCTTTGGATATCTAAAAGCACTTTGCAATCAGTGAAGACTATTTGAACTGTAGGGACTGTTGTAGGGAAGTGGAGGGAAGGCTGATGAATATTGCTGGGGATTCTAGTGTGGCTATCTCTATATCAGTATTGCTATGCAGTAATAGCTTGAGGATAGCTTGGGGTGCATTCACATGACAACCTGCTGTGGGAAAGATGTTCTAACTTGAAAGGGTTCAGAAAACATTTGCAAGGATATTGCCAGAATTCGAGGGGTTGAGCTACAGGGAGAGGCTGAATAGGCTGGGGCTTTTTCCCTGGAGCATTGGAGGCTGAGGGTTGACCTTTTGGGGTTTATAAAATCATGAGTGGTATGGATAGGGTGAGTAGCCAAAATTTTTTCCCAGGGTAAGGCAGTCCAAAACTAGAGGCCATAGGTTTAAGGTGAGAGGGGAAAGAATTAAAAGGGACCTGAAGGGCAACATTTTCATGCAGAAGGTGGTGAGTGTATGGAATGAGCTGCCAGAGGAGGTAATGGAGGCGGCTACAATTAAGACATTTTAAAGATATCTGGGTGGGTTTATGAATAGGAAGAGTTTAAGGGAATATGGGCCAATAGTTGGCAAATGGGACTAGATCAGTGTCTATAGGTGTGGGGCTGGAAAAGCACAGCAGGCCAGACAGCATCCAAGGAGCAGGAAAG